AAACAAGAATTATAGCTATACAACAAAGAATGAATTATTTCATTATCACTTTAAATGCTTCTAATTTTTAAAATAAAATAGTCTCAGTCGAAATGAACACATCATTGTAGACGAAAGTTGACAAAGAAAAATACCTGAAGATTTTAAGCTAGTTTGTGATGAATCAACTGATTCACTGACATCACAGAATTCCACTTCGTTTTCTTCCTGATTTAGCATCTCCAATTCGGCAGCCAACGATTGTTCCAACGACGACAGCAAACTAGCACTTCGCTTGTAAATTATATGTTTCCCTGACTGCATCAATGTTATAGTTAAGAGCAAAAACTTAATTTTAAGATGTAATTGAAGAATTACCAAATCTGCAGGTTAATCTGAGTTGAAGTGAAGAAACTTTCAACACACAAAAAGCTACTGAAAACATGATAAAAGTAATAACATAAAATTGATAACCTGGTCAGTTTTTAGATTTGGCGGAATTGTTTGAAGAACCAGAAAATGATCATCCATTACAAGAATGCCCATTAAATTTCGGCAATTTGAGATTGCTGCCGAGACGTTACCGTGAGATTTAACCAACCCGTGATAATGACAACTGTAGTCAATATTTTTTGGAAAACCGTGCTGCTCCAGCACCGTATTGGCATCACGAATAGCCGTAGTCTAAAAAATCAATTATAAACAAAATATAATAATTCATTTGTTAATAGGTGTAAATTACTGTATATGCTTGGTATCAAAAATAATTGGAAAAAAAAAAAAACAAGATAAACCAAATGTGGGCTAATCAGTTGTCGATTTGGTGATAATTCCAATGTAAATGGTTGATTCCAAGCAACAAATTCAAGAATCAAATTTCCATTCTTATTCTGTTCACGTCGTTTTTCAACAAAACTATATTCTGGTACATCGCTGTGCTGTTCGACATCAAAAATTCGTCGTAAATCTCGCTTTGATAAGCGATGATGAAATGCCTAAAAATTTTGGTTGAAAAGAGAAAACAAAAATTTGTTTCATCTGATATATGCTAAAATTAATCATCTTCCTTTTTTCACCATCTTTTTTTTCTTTTGAATCTCTTTTTTAGTTATTTTCTGTTTCTTTTTTTTTTTTTTTTTTTTTTTT